TGTCCATGTGTTTACTTGGCTACACTGTTTCTGTCATCTATAATCTTGCACATTTCCATGTGTTTACTGGGCTACACTGTTTCTGTCATCTATAATCTTGCACATCTAGATGTGTTTACTAGGGCTACACTGTTTCTGTCATCTATAATCTTGCACATGTCCATGTGTTTACTGGGCTACACTGTTTCTGTCATCTATAATCTTGCACATCTAGATGTGTTTACTGGGCTACACTGTTTCTGTCATCTATAATCTTGCACATGTCCATGTGTTTACTGGGCTACACTATTTCTGTCATCTATAATCTTGCACATGTCCATGTGTTTACTGGGCTACACTGTTTCTGTCATCTATAATCTTGCACATGTCCATGTGTTTACTGAGCTACACTGTTTCTGTCATCTATAATCTTGCACATCTAGATGTGTTTACTGGAGCTACACTGTTTCTGTCATCTATAATCTTGCACATCTAGATGTGTTTACTGGGCTACACTGTTTCTGTCATCTATAATCTTGCACATCTAGATGTGTTTACTGGGCTACACTGTTTCTGTCATCTATAATCTTGCACATCTAGATGTGTTTACTGGGCTACACTGTTTCTGTCATCTATAATCTTGCACATCTCCATGTGTTTACTGGGCTACACTGTTCTTGTCATCTATAATCTTGCACATGTCCATGTGTTTACTGGGCTACACACAGTTTCTGTCATCTATAATCTTGCACATCTCCATGTGTTTACTGAGCTACACTGTTTCTGTCATCTATAATCTTGCACATCTAGATGTGTTTACTGGGCTACACTGTTTCTGTCATCTATAATCTTGCACATCTCCATGTGTTTACTGGGCTACACTGTTCTTGTCATCTATAATCTTGCACATGTCCATGTGTTTACTGGGCTACACAGTTTCTGTCATCTATAACCTTGCACATCTCCATGTGTTTACTGAGCTACACTGTTTCTGTCATCTATAATCTTGCACATCTAGATGTGTTTACTGGGCTACACTGTTTCTGTCATCTATAATCTTGCACATCTAGATGTGTTTACTGGGCTACACTGTTTCTGTCATCTATAATCTGGCACATGTCCATGTGTTTACTGAGCTACACTGTTTCTGTCATCTATAAGCTTGCACATCTAGATGTGTTTACTGGGCTACACTGTTTCTGTCATCTATAATCTTGCACATCTCCATGTGTTTACTGAGCTACACTGTTTCTGTCATCTATAATCTTGCACATCTAGATGTGTTTACTGGGCTACACTGTTTCTGTCATCTATAATCTTGCACATGTCCATGTGTTTACTGGGCTACACTGTTTCTGTCATCTATAATCTTGCACATCTAGATGTGTTTACTGGGCTACACTGTTTCTGTCATCTATAATCTTGCACATGTCCATGTGTTTACTGGGCTACACTGTTTCTGTCATCTATAATCTTGCACATGTCCATGTGTTTACTGGGCTACACTGTTTCTGTCATCTATAAGCTTGCACATCTAGATGTGTTTACTGAGCTACACTGTTTCTTTCATCTACAATCTTGCACATCTAGATGTGTTTACTGGAGCTACACTGTTTCTGTCATCTATAATCTTGCACATGTCCATGTGTTTACTGAGCTACACTGTTTCTGTCATCTATAATCTTGCACATGTCCATGTGTTTACTGGGCTACACTGTTTCTGTCATCTATAAGCTTGCACATCTAGATGTGTTTACTGAGCTACACTGTTTCTGTCATCTATAATCTTGCACATCTAGATGTGTTTACTGGGCTACACTGTTTCTGTCATCTATAATCTTGCACATCTAGATGTGTTTACTGAGCTACACTGTTTCTGTCATCTATAATCTTGCACATCTAGATGTGTTTACTGGGCTACACTGTTTCTGTCATCTATAATCTTGCACATCTCCATGTGTTTACTGGGCTACACTGTTTCTGTCATCTATAATCTTGCACATGTCCATGTGTTTACTGGGCTACACTGTTTCTGTCATCTATAATCTTGCACATCTCCATGTGTTTACTGGGCTACACTGTTTCTGTCATCTATAATCTTGCACATCTCCATGTGTTTACTGGGCTACACTGTTTCTGTCATCTATAATCCTTGCACATGTCCATGTGTTTACTGGGCTACACTGTTTCTGTCATCTATAAGCTTGCACATCTCCATGTGTTTACTGGGCTACAGTTTCTGACATCTATAAGCTTGCACATTTTGATGTGTTTAACTATTCAACAGCTATAAGTATTATGATGTGTGTGTTCCTCTGACAACACGTATTTGTAAAAGGGAATGTCGAACATGATGAAAAGTCATGGTATTCTCTAATTTGGGACCTTTTCTGCTGTGGAATCCCCACTCTTCTGCTTTGGAATCCCTACAAGAGAGACCCCACTATATGATGAAATATTGCTGAGTGTGGCGTTAAACAACAATCAGTCAAACAATCGACTACAAAGAGCTGCCACCATATAGGCGGAATATGGTCAAGGGGCCACCACCGTGGTGTAGTGTTTAGAGTGTCCGCCCAGATAGCGGAAGGTCGCAGGTTCGATCCCCTTCCACGCATACCACCACCGTGGTGTAGTGTTTGGAGTGTCCGCCCAGATAGCGGAAGGTCGCAGGTTCGATCCCCTCCACAGCATACCACCACCGCGGTGTAGTGTTTGGAGTGTCCAGATAGCGGAAGGTCTCAGGTTCGATCCCGAGCGACAGCATACTACCACTGTGGTATAGTTTGGTATAGTGTCTGCCTGGAGAGAGGAAGATCGCAGGTTCGATCCCCTTCCACGGCATACCACCACCGCGGCGGTGTAGTGCTTAGAGTGTCCGCCCAGATAGCGGAAGGTCTCAGGTTCGATCCCCGGTGACAGCATACTACCACTGTGGTATAGTGTCTGCCCGGAGAGAGGAAGGTTGCAGGTTCGATCCCCCTCCACAGCATACCACCACCGCGGTGTAGTGCTTAGAGTGTCCTCTCAGAGAGCGGAAGGTCGCAAGTTTGATCCCCGCCCGCTTCATACCAAAAGACGATAAAATATGGTACTTGTTGGTCCCTGCCTGGCTCTCGGCATTAATGAGTACAAGGACTGGTCGGCTCAGAGCATAATGTGTCTGAGTGTGGTATTCATTCTTAACTGCGGAATGGTATCTCAGCGGGCTAGCACCATGAAACCAGCTTAAGTCTGGGCTAGTAAAAGCAGTCACACATACACACATATGCACGTCCTCATATGAGTGAAATTTTCTCAAGTACGACGTTAAAGCCCATTTCACCTCACCTCAAAGGCAAGGCTTCTCATATGAATTTCATGATGCAGTTCAGGGTAGGGGGTCAACACTCGCATTAATTAGGTTATTTCATTACTAACAGTATACTGGTTACTGTCCGAAGACTAGTTAAAGATATGTTAAATTACAAATTACATTGCTCACCTTCTAAGCTTGTGTACAGGTGTCTCCAAAATATTATTACCACTCCCACTTGTAAAGTCTCGTCTCTGTGTCCATTTGGGAATGAAAACAATTCTAAATTTGTACGTTTGATAAACTAATCAGCCTTGACAACAAGTGGAAGGGAAATAGTATGGTAATATCATTCAGACATCACTGTGCATTACAGGTAGCTCCTAATGTAATATTTCCCTTCAACAAAGCTAATTCAAATCATTTACTGATTTTTTACTGAATTTTGTACTGATTAAAGACTTTATCTGACTGTAATGACTATATGGCAGATATTACACTTGAAGCTGGAGACTTGATTTGGCCACTTTGTTTGGGCTTAATAACTATTGTGACATTGTTGATGTCAAGACACGGCTAGTCACCTCAATGTCAAAATAGGACTGATTATATCAGTTTGTTCAATCTGACCTACACTGACTTATGGAGACAATGTTCTTCAATTCTGTAAGTTGAAGAAATGTTTTTTCTGAATATAGATTTAGAGAACAGAGGTTGGTTACCATGTTTAATTGTGTATTCTGATGGGATTCTGCAGCAGGAGTTGTCCTAAGTACCACATGCTGGTCTTGCTGTAGACGAGGTATTCTGGAACAGAATAGGTCCTTGGTGCCAGACATTGTTCTCCCCGTAGACGAGGTATTCTGGAAGAGAATAGGTCCTTGGTGCCAGATGCTGGTCTCCCAGTAAACTAGGTATTCTGGAAGAGAATAGGTCCTTGGTGCCAGATGCTGGTCTCCCAGTAAACTAGGTATTCTGGAAGAGAATAGGTCCTTGGTGCCAGATGCTGGTCTCCCAGTAAACTAGGTATTCTGGAAGAGAATAGGTCCTTGGTGCCAGATGCTGGTCTCCCAGTAAACTAGGTATTCTGGAAGAGAATAGGTCCTTGGTGCCAGATGCTGGTCTCCCTGTAAACTAGGTATTCTGGAAGAGAATAGGTCCTTGGTGCCAGATGCTGGTCTCCCTAGTAGACTAGGTATTCTGGAAGAGAATAGGTCCTTGGTGCCAGATGCTGGTGTCCCTATAGACTTGGTATTCTGGAAGAGAATAGGTCCTTGGTGCCAGATGCTGGTGCCCTATAGACTGCTGGAAGAGAATAGGTCCCTGATGCCAGACTGGTGTCCCCGTTCTGGAAGAGAATAGGTCCTTGGTGCCAGATGCTGGTCTCCCTGTAGACTAGGTATTCTGGAAGAGAATAGGTCCTTGGTGCCAGATGCTGGTCTCCCTGTAGACTAGGTATTCTGGAAGAGAATAGGTCCTTGGTGCCAGATGCTGGTGTCCCTATAGACTTGATATTCTGGAACATGATGGATCCTTGGGACCAGATTCTGTAAAAATCATGATAATCAGATGTCTTCGATGGCTTATGTCGCAAACCAGAACTGGGTGATGACAGTACTATTGTGATTCATTTGATACATGATTCTAATCCCCACTTAACGCAGGCAGAGCTGATGTGAAAATGGCTTGCTCAATGATCAATAATCATAAGAATTTCTATTTGCAGTAGGTCAAGATGCCGACTGTGTTGGCGCTTGATGTGTCGCTGTCCATGAGTCGGCCAGTCTTCACCCCCGACAGTCAGGGGGAGTTTCAGAGGCGCCACCTAGCGGTGCAGGGCATAAACCACCTCCTGGACTACATGGCTGTCAACTGCAAGTTAGAGTTCACATCTCTGGTGGGTGTCAATGGCCAGGGTGTAATGAGTGCCTAGAGCTCCAGATAAGATTTAGCTCGTGTGGATACTGTACCCACTGTATTTTTTTGGAGTGGGTATTATGAATGTTGAGTGGGTATTTCATTTTCCGTTACCCACTGCTTTCAAATATGTGCGTATTTCAGTCATTTTACTCACCTAAGTATTATGTCATTGAGTAAGTTTATTAAGCAGGTATGTTCTGCCTTTTGTCATACCTAATCAAAACCAACTTAAATATAATGGAAATTATTTCATAAAAAATCACTCATCCTATACTGACAGTACAACACTTGTCCTATACTAACAGTACAACTTGATAGCAATCGATGTCTTTTTCATTACGCAAGCGATTTTTATAAATATATTCCGTACGCATTTGTTTTAAACTTTTTGCGTATCTAACATTTTAAATGCGTAATTGGTATGCAGCAATTATGTTTCAATGCGAAATTGGAAATTTTATATCCGTATTTTACCCGGATACGCAGCTTATCTGGGCCTCTGAGTGCCCAATAACTTGTTACACTGAAGTCTTCATATACTGCTATATATTTACTCACCAGTTGGAATATATTTAAAAAGGAGTCCCAACAATTAGTCTGGAATGATTGGCTTGTCCAGATTGCCAAAACTATGAATTGTTCGGGGCTCCTTTTGGATTGTGTTTTTTTGTTGATGAATATTTTCAAAATGAAACTATTTCTGGGACTAAATGTCTTTCTACAGTGTAATTTATTTAATTCAATGGACATGCCGTGACGATCTGTCTTATTGTTATTTCTTTAGTTTTTTCTTGCATATTAAACCTGTATGCCCTGATATGAAGTATTTCTCTAGAAAACCAGTGTACTGCTTCTGAAGCCCATACTAAGCCAATTCTGGATATGAACTCTATGTGATGAATAATTAAATCAGAATAATGACAGATCACACATTTTTAAATGATTTATGTTTTGTACCTAGCTGTTGCCTTGACATTCTCAGACCATGTTTATTGATTATTACTATTTTCTTTCATGTTGCCTTTATCATCATCTACTGCATTTTAAACCCCTGCATGTTATGGGGATATCCTGAATATCTAATGGGAGAGTTCATCTTTCCCTTGGAATCAGCAGATGTCTCTTGAATCATGTTGTTATTGATACATGATTCCTCTGAAACTGTAGAACGGTGGGTAGCCTTGTGGTTAAAGCGTTCGCTCGTCACGCCGAAGACCCGGGTTCGATTCCCCACATGGGTACAATGTGTGAAGCCCATTTCTGGTATTTCCCCGCCGTGATATTGTTGGAGTATTGATAAAAGCGTCGTAAAACTAAACTCACTCACTCACTCACTCACTCTGTAACTGTATAAGTTTTACTTGTTGGAATGGATGTTAGAACTTTGTCTATTTGTACACTTTTAACTATTACATATGAAAGACTTGTGGTTAGTCTTCAGCGGAACACCAAATTCATTCTTAAAATATTGTGGTTTATTAATACCAAGCAATTAAAAGTTGCCTAAAAGCCAGCTGCTTCACTCTCGCCCGCCAACAAAACCACAGAGAGGTTACGTAACTCTGTCGCCAGAGCACTGCAGCGAACCAGAAGTGACGTTATGTGAGGAATGATTTTCAGTCAGTTGTATATAAAGTGTGTAATAAGCTCGTCATTTTGCTGATTTCTCAACATTTTCATCGAGTTAAAAAAATCAAAACTACTTACCAGTTGCAGTAAAATATGTATATGATTGATGACCAAAAGGATTTTGCATGACACAACTTGTAACATAACGATTTCTTCCACGGAAGCGAGGTGGGGGTCGAAGTGACAATATTGTGCGATTTTCTTGCTGCATTCATGTGGTTAACGTCCGCTCACCACTATGTAGATACTAGTCGATCCTGATGAGCGAAGGTGATCATCGTTTTAACTATCACTAGTGTCTAGGCCTCGAACAAATAAGGCCTAGCAATTGTTTCTTCATTGAAGATTGAATGGAAAGATTGTCGCTGTCTGAATTACTTCCAGACATGTCAGAGTCTGCTTTGTACTGTAAATGACAACCCACTGAATTAACCATATTGAAATCACTTGACATAAATGGTTTAACATCCGAGTAAATTGGGGAACAAATGCCAGACCTAGCCAACCGGTAACCGTTATGACAACAAGCGATTTTGACAGAATCGTCTATGAAAACAAGTTGTAACTCGGAAGGTTGGCAAAGCAGGTGACAAGATTAAATGACAGTAGATAGTAAAAACATAAAGCTTTCATTTTTCACAACAATTGTCACGATTTCAGGTTTAGACAAATCTGTAAACAAGATAATTTACCCCCGGAAATGTACATGAATTCTACAGTGCCCCTCATATCAATACCTCACATTATGTCAGGGCAGTGGGGTAGCCTAGTGGTTAAAGCATTCGCTCGTCACGCCGAAGGACCGGGTTCAAATCCCCACATGGGTACAATGTGTGAAGCCCATTTCTGGTGTCCCCTGCCGTGATATTGCTGGAATATTGCTAAAAGCGGCGTAAAACCATACTCAGTCTGTCAGTCAGTCACATTAAGTCACAGAGACGGGCCCCTCTGATTGGTTGAAATTTCGTTCACGGGAGAGAATTGTGCAAAACGGTCTATTTAAGTTAATTAAAGGTCGAATGAGTAGTTTTTATGACAGGGTTTGATTTATAACGATGCCATTAAATGATTTATGTATTTGTACCCTCTTAGTGTATATGCGATCTTTAAGATGGAAAGGCCAGTTAATTCCTGGCTTAAAATTAAGTGCAACAACAGTAACGTCACTTCATTATAATTGTGTAAGTTATCGGTAAATGTTTCTGACGAAATGTTTGTTTTATGCAGGTGGTGTTTTCTTATCTATGGGAACAACTGGTGACTTTCACAAGGGACTTTGACTCCATCAAATCAGCACTGAACAAGATAGAAATATTCAACAAGACATGTATAGAGACTGTGTTGAATGGTATCAAGTCCCTGGTCGTGGAGGAATGGAGTACTGTCACACCATGTCAGGTAGTAGCAGGAAAATAGTACTGTCACACCATGTCAGGTACATTCATGACAATAGTACTGTCACATCATGTTAGGTAGTAGCAAGACAATAGTACTGTCACATGTCAGGTAGTATCATGTCAGGTAGTAGCAGGACAATAGTACTGGCACAACATGTCAGTTAGTAGCAGGACAATAGTACTGTCACACCATGTCAGGTGGTATCAGGACAATAGTACTGTCACATCATGTTAGGTAGTAGCAAGACAATAGTACTGTCACACCATGTCAGGTGGTATCAGGAAAATAGTACTGTCACAACATGTAAGTTAGTAGCAGGACAATAGTACTGTCACACCATGTCAGGTGGTATCAGGAAAATAGTACTGTCACACCATGTCAGGTAGCAGCAGGACAATAGTACTGTCACATCATGTTAGGTAGTAGCAGGACAATAGTACTGTCACACCCTGTGAGGTAGAGGCGTGACAATAATACTGTCACACCATGTCAGGAGGAAGCGTGACAATATAACTGTCACGCCATGTCTGACAGTAGTAATAAACTAGTACTGTTTACCAATACAGGTAGTACTGTCAATAATACTACTAAAAGTCTTTTTGCCCCTCATGACAGAGTCTTTTTTTTTCAGTATGTCAGCTGGCTGGACAATTGTATTCGAGGCGGGGCTCTTTTAAACTTTATTTGCAGAATTTGTATAGCGTGACTAAGGAATTCACATACAGTGGAAGCTTACATACTAAACTATTTCTTGGAGCAGTTATTTTGAATGAAATGTGAAGTTTAACTGTCAAAACAACGTAATGGGCTATTGGACACCATAGCCATTGTACATGGCATGAAAACATATTGAGTCAACAAAAGGTTTTGTATTGGTGTTGGCCAAGTTTCGGTGTTATTTCTGTATGTATTTTCATCGCCCCATGCAGTTTTTTTATTTATCGAAAATAGAAGACCATTCTCCTTGCATATCCAACGGTGACTTGTTTTTAGGGAGGGAAAACAAGAAAAGACAAAATTGTTTAGATTGAAAAATGGTTGTTCTTCACTCTGTTGTAGGTGATATTGATAACCGATGGCAACAGCGGTATTGGCCAAGGCTCACTAAAGGAATCCCTGCAGTCCAAGACAGCTGATGACAAGTTTCCTCTTCCGTTTCCATTCCCATGTAAACTTCACATTGTATGTGTAGCTAACCCAAATGATCCTGACTTGCAGAGTTCTCTGCCCTTGTATCAGAAACTCATTGACATGAATCAAGAAGGTGGAGAAATATTCATTCCAGAATCCAACATAACAATGAAATCAGTGGAGCAGATGTTTCAGAAAATAGGGGAGACATTTTATTCTCCCTACTTTGGAACAATCCAGTGTGGCAATCTCAAGTGCAACGTGCAGCTGCTTCCTTCCCCAGAACCTCTCTCCAGGTAAAGATATCCAGTTGGGATTAGGAGCCATACAGGGCCCTGTTCCTCAAAGCAATTTGTAACACAGGCTAATGATAGTAATGTTACCATGTTCCACTTTGTGGACAATCTTGTCCATGTTCCTCTTTGTGGACAATCTTGCCCATGTTCCACTGTGTGTACATACTTTTCTGCAATTCCTGAAACATCTGTGTTTATGACACTACACCTTTGCCAACAATGTGTATCTCTGAAACATGCCTTCAGAATTCTGAAACGAGAAAATGTTTCCCTTCATTTGAACATTCCACGAAACTAGTTATGTTCGCTAGTTGAGCATATTTGTACATCTTCCACCAAACTAGTTGTGGGTGCTAGTTGAACATTTTGGTATATCGTCCATAAAAGTAGTTATGGTTGCTAATGAAATGTGTACCATATCAGGTTGTACTAGGAAAATATATATAGTACTGGATGCTAATGACATGTTAAAAAAATCAGATGCAATTCTACAAAATTTCTCAGGGCAAGTTTTTACTGTTATCAGTACATGAATAAAGAATGTTTATCAATTAGAACTATGTAGTATATCATGGCTCACTGGAAGGTATTTGTTGGTATCAAAGCTTGCTGAGAAAACCTTAAAACTGAATATGAATTGTAACAATACTGGAAATATCTTTTTGATCAGCACTTGAAACCTGTACAAAACTACACTATTCCATCTTTCACCACCTCATAATGAAAGGTCCACTTTTGAATAGGTACATTTGATAAGAGGTAGTAAGTATTGAAATGTTGTGTTTGAAATTGCCATGATTACAATCACCCAATTCTCTTTGTTTGTGGAATATTTTACAAAATGACATAGGGCAGATCATGAGGAATGACCATTGATGAAGCTTTTGCTGATTTCTTCTAGGAAGAATGCATTGGGAGAAGATGAACAGATCGTCTTGAACAACAACCTGGAAGTGTGTGGTTTCCTTGATATTGCAGATGTAGCCAGTCCCCCCACCATCTCACGTCATCTTGTTCTCCCGACCATCCCTAAAGACAGAAGCAAGCCCACTGATGGTAGGTTCCCAGTACTTTCTGTACTGTGCTCAATACATACATTGTCAGTGGCAATATATATCAAAGAAAGATCTGGACAACCATATCTCAAATCAAATTGCACCATATATCATGTGAATAATCTGACATATTAGGCTACTCTTTCAGCTATGCTGCTCCTTCTATCTGGAACTCTATCCCCATGATATTAGACTGTCACCAACCCTAGACAACTTCAAATGTCATTTAAAGACATTCCTTTTCCGATAATACTATCACTGCTAGATTTCTGTGTTCCTACTCATTTTAAATACCGTGTATATACTCATCATAGCACTTAGAGCAGATACTTTGTGCCTGGAGTATTTTAGCGCTTTATAAATTCACTAATTATTATTATTATTATTGTTATATAACTAGATGATGATGAAGGTCAAGGTCAAGGTCACATGAAACATGCTCAAGAAGTCCAGTACGTGATTGAAGACAACTTAACATACATTAAGATAGTATGAGAATATAAAGACAAATGTTACCAAGAACATTAGTGTATATGAACTACAGATCATTATAACGTACTAATGTCAGACGGTGATGGTATTTCAATAATGAGCCATTAATATTCTGCAGATACATTGGGCTACAGATGAACTGATCACAGTGTTAATAATTCATTCCTTAAAAGGTAGACTGCCATGCTTTATGCTCTTACGGCTCTGTATCTCGGCACTGCAGTGAGAATGCTTCTTATGTAGAGGGGTCGGTGGTTCAAGTGTTGGCTCGTCACGCCGAAGACCCGGGTTCGAAACCCCACATGGGTACAATGTGTGAAGCCCATTTCTGGTGTCCCCCATCGTGATGTTGCTGGAATATTGCTAAAAGCGGCGTAAAACCAAACTCAGTCAGTCAGTCTTATGTAGAGATCAGATGTTATGTCTGTGTTAAGCACATGTTAGATCATAGGCCCACTGCAGTCAAAACACTTTACATACTTCAGCAATCAGGAACAAATATGATCTAGCTCAACAGCTGGGTCATCTTCCTTAATCCAGTGTTGGGGGTTGGGGTAGCCTAGTGGTAGAAGCGTTCACTCATCATGCCGAAGACACAGGTTTGATTCCCCAAATGGGTACAATGTGTGAAGCCCATTTCTGGTGTCCACCTCCCATTATATTGTTGAAATATTGCTAAAGGCTCACTCACTCACTAATCCAGCGTATCTTGACTTAAGTAGCATGGACCCATCACCATTGGTTTGTTTCAGAAACCAGTTTTAAAGTTTAAAAGATTTAAAAAACTATTCTGTGTAAGTGAATGGGTCCACGCTATTTATTATAAATCACAGAGATGCGGGGGTCATAGGACCCCTCATGATTAAATTATATTTTTTATTAGGAATTTAGTAAAAATAATAGTGAGATGTACTTTGGGGATAAGGGCATCCATTCTCTTGATTTGTGCACACAACATGTAATTTTTTGTGTCTTGTAACACCTGTGTCACAGCCAGATGTCAGTATCGGGTGTGTCCCAGGCTGTCCCCAATGTTTACAGATGGCATATTAACACCTGTGTCACAGCCAGATGTCAGTATCGGGTGTATTTTGGGCTGTCCCCAATGTTTACAGATGACATATTAACACCTGTGTCACAGCCAGATGTCAGTATCGGGTGTGTCCTGGGCTGTCCCCCCATGTCTACAGATGACATATTAACACCTGTGTCACAGCCAGATGAGTATCATATCTAACACAGATGACATGTGTCACAGCCAGATGTCAGTATCGGGTGTGTCCTGGGCTGTCCCCCCATGTTTACAGATGACATATTAACACCTGTGTCACAGCCAGATGTCAGTATCGGGTGTGTCCTGGGCTGTCCCCAAATGTTTACAGATGACATATTAACACCTGTGTCACAGCCAGATGTCAGTATCGGTGTGTGTCCTGGGACATATTAACACCTCACCCAGATGTCAGTATCGTTGGGCTGTACCCCAGTCTATGACATATTAACACCTGTGTCACAGCCAGATGTCAGTATCGGGTGTGTCTTGGGCTGTCCCCAATGTCTACAGATGACATATTAACACCTGTGTCACAGCCAGATGTCAGTATCGGTGTGTCTTGGGCTGTTTACAGATGACCCAGTGTGTCTACAGATGACATATTAACACCTGTGTCACAGCCAGATGTCAGTATCGGGTGTGTCTTGGGCTGTCCCCAATGTCTACAGATGACATATTAACACCTGACAGCCAGATGTTATAATGCAATTGTTTCATCTTAAGGATGAAATTCACACCTGTGTCACAGCCAGATGTCACACCTTTTATGCATGAACAAAATTATATCCAGTTTGTCTGTCACAGCCAGATGTCAGTATCGGGTGTGTCTTGGGCTGCTGCCTTTTTGGAAATCAGGATAGAATTTAGACTTAATGAATCACTTAGTTAGGTTTAGTTAGGCTTGGTGACTTAGTAAATCTGTCTTGCATGTATGCTCATACTATCAATCACTGAACTGTCTTGTAACTGACTCAGTTTCTGACAGGCTGCCATCTTGTAGCTGGGATATGGCTAAGTATATCAGTGACAGATGGTGAATTTACAACTTTGTCTAGTGTTAGAGGGTGTTCATTTTGCTGCCTTCTGCACTTGCATGTTCCATCCTTTCAGAAAATGGCAGCAAGGAAGGGAAGAACGGCAAGCCTGCAGGGGATGAAGAGGAAGAGTTGGATGATGGGAAGACGCCGTCGTTCACGGTGCTGCTGCATGGCAGCCTCAAGGTCGAGGGCATGGTGGCACTCACGAAAGTGGGGTAGGAAAAATTGTGAAACTTTATTTAGTTTATTTATCACTGCATGATAAATGTCAAGTTAGATTGACAAACTAAATGTAGCCAAAGTATAATCATTCTCACATTGTTTCAGGCTGTTAGATATGTGCTTCATGCCACCATGTTGTTTCAGGCCTGACTGGTATGGGTATGAGATATGTGCTTCATGCCTCCATGTTGTTTCAGGCCTGACTGGTAAGTGTGTGAGATATGTGCTATATACCACCATGGTGTTTCAGACCTGACAGGTATTGGTGAGAGATATATAATATATACCACCCTGCTGTTTCAGGCCAGACTGGTATGTGTGTGATATATATGCTATATACCACCATGTTGTTTCAGACCAGACTGGTATGTGTGTGAGATATACTAGTATGCTATATACCACCATGTTGTTTCAGGCCAGACTGGTATGTGTGTGAGATATATGCTATATACCACCATGTTGTTTCAGACCAGACTGGTATGTTGTTTCAGTGACTGGTATATATATACTAGTATGCTATATACCACCATGTTGTTTCAGACCAGACTGGTATGTGTGTGAGATATATGCTATATACCACCATGTTGTTTCAGACCAGACTGGTATGTGTGTGAGATATACTAGTATGCTATATACCACCATGTTGTTTCAGGCCAGACTGGTATGTGTGTGAGATATATGCTATATACCACCATGTTGTTTCAGACCAGACTGGTATGTGTGTGAGATATACTAGTATGCTATATACCACCATGTTGTTTCAGACCAGACTGGTATGTGTGTGAGATATATGCTATATACCACCATGTTGTTTCAGACCAGACTGGTATGTGTGTGAGATATATGCTATATACCACCATGTTGTTTCAGACCAGACTGGTATGTGTGTGAGATATATGCTATATACCACCATGTTGTTTCAGGCCAGACTGGTATGGGTGTGAGATATGTGCTATGCTATATACCACCATGTTGTTTCAGACCAGACTGGTATGTGTGGTGAGATATATATATATATACCACCATGTTGTTTCAGACCAGACTGGTATGTGTGTGAGATATATGCTATATACCACCATGTTGTTTCAGACCAGACTGGTATGTGTGTGAGATATATGCTATATACCACCATGTTGTTTCAGACCAGACTGGTATGTGTGTGAGATATATGCTATATACCACCATGTTGTTTCAGACCAGACTGGTATGTGTGTGAGATATATGCTATATACCACCATGTTGTTTCAGACCAGACTGGTATGGGATCATGTATTCCTGGGCTGACAGTAAGAAGAAATCAAACCTCATGTTGGCCTTTTTTTACCCAGGTAAAATTGTTTTCAATTTTATCATAGAATTTGTGAACACTTGAAATCCCTGACACAGTCATGACATTTTGGTTATATTTCTCAGATACTGGTAAACGTGGGATAAAAAATCACTCACAACCCAGTGCCGCCATCCAAGCTCTTCACTGACTGTACTAAGACCTCCCACAGACACAATGGCTAACTTGTAGAATTTATCAAATTTGTTTCAAATAAATGGAGATGAACAAGTTAATGCTTGTTTTTTTTAGCATAGCCTGCAAAAATAAAGTGTTATGACAGTGTTAAATCATCCAATGATGATGTCTGCTGATCTGTTCAGTAACTGTTGTGTATTGTTTGTCCGTTATGATGCAGTTATCACATTCTTTCCTTTAGCTGGCCATATTACCAGTTTGAGTTTAGAGTTTTGAAATACCTAGCCAAGAAGAGGTCTAATGCTTGAAATCAGAATGCTGGCATTAAGTGAGATGCAGACATGGACAATGAAAGAGACACTTTTTCACTGAAAGAAAACTTCCCTAATCCTATTCCAGTTTTATCCAAAGTCTAAGACTAGAAATATGACCTTGTTGTTGTAGGTATGGACACGATAAGCTGGCTGGGGAAGCTCGACAATCTAGCCCACGTGTCTGAGTTCTCGGAATCACCGTACGGGGAAGATGACAGTAAGACCCCATTTCCTGTTCGCCCAGGAGACAAGAGAAGCTATGCTCAGAGCTGTGTTGTGTGGATCAAACCATCCGGTTTACAGGTATAATGTTTTCTTTGTAGCCCATCAGTACTGTACTCTGAAGACGCAAACCATTTATTGACTTAGATGGGATTGGGTGGTCAGGCTCGCTGGCTTGGTTGACACATGTCATCGGTTCCCATTTGAGCAGATCGATGCTCATGCTGTTGATCACTCTATTGTCTGGTCCAGACTCGATTATTTACAGACCGCTGCCATATAGCTGGAATATCGCTGAGTGCGGTGTAAAACTAAACTCACTCTATTGACTTAGATTGACTAGATACTGTAAGGGAGGCAACTGACGTTACATTTGAGTTGTCTCCCTTTATTGACATGCGTGGGGTTTAAAACCAATATATTTGGATTGTCACACACTGTATGTCTTTGCTGTGCATGAAGTGATGACAGTCTTAACTTAGAGAGTGATAATCTGGAAGGAAGGTTCTGTATTTAGACATGAGTTATCTTTTCAATGACTACCACAAATTAATTGAGGAAGAATGGCTTTTTTATTCATATTAGCTTCTTTTGGAATGTGGCTCTCAAAACCCACTGTTTCAATCAGAGCTTGCAGTTGTTATTTGGTAGTTCTCCAAATTCATGGCACAATCCTTTTTTTGTGATAACTGTATATATTTGTAATGTATGATGTATTTGAACTAGCTTTCTACCCATTTATTGATGGATTCTGTGTTACAGGCCGACCTACAGAAAGTCCTGCGACATGCACGGAAACTACCAGAAAAACAGCAGCAGTTTTATAAGGTTGGCAACACATAATCAGGGACACTTCATTGGGGATGTTGGAATGCCAATATATTTCTACCAATATATATCACAGCTATGCTGTGTCTGTTATCAGACAGCCAGGCTATATCTGTTATATTGACCCAACAGACTGTGTCTGTTATCAGACAGCCAGGCTATATCTGTTATATTCACTGAACTGCCAGACTGTATCTGTTAGAGAATATTACCTGAAACACAAGTCTCTATTTTAGGCTGAAGTTATTAATAAGTTTATCATTTACTAGGAGCTGAACCGGATACGTCGAGCAGCCTTGGCATTCGGCTTCCTGGAGCTTCTGGATGCGATGGCCAGCATGTTGGAGCGGGAGTGCACAATGTTGCCGGGAACAGCGCACCCCAGCGCCGCCATGCAGCTGTCACACGCAGCCAACGCACTCCAGAACCCCTCAGCCAAAGATGTCTCCACCACCATCATGCCGCTACAGACCAACTTCAGCACTGACGATTAAAAACACTACAATGGACATGAAGATGTGTTAGTGCCAATTAGAGGCAAGGAACACTCTTTTTAAAACAGGCTTGTTTCCTGAAGATGCTCAGACATAAGGTGCTATATGATGAGCTTGAAAAAGTTTCATTTGTAAAACAGGCAGTTAACCAGATTCAAACACCAAATATCTGTGTGGATGAATGCTCATTCTATCAACCACTGGTTTGTCTGGTCCAGGCCTGATCAACGAAGGCAGCTGTATGTTACTTTCCATTCTCCAAGGGTTATGATCCATGCTCATTGTAGAGACGTCGTCTGTGGATCAATGCCTGTAGTGTTTGTGTATATTTGCAACATTACAGTACAAGATACATGAGATCCTGATGTTGCATCAGTCATGGTGAATAAATCATTTTATGTATCAGGTGTTTCCAGTTGTTTGTTTTAAACAAATTGTCAAAGTACATGGTCTGCCATCTGCCTCACATGTAACCATCTGACCGTGTACTGTGTCCACTTCAATCACTGTTGATGTGAAGGGAACCTTTATGATAACATATATGATAACTGCATTATGTTGTATCCCTAAATGGGGGCGGCGGGGTAGTCTAGTGGTTAAAGCGTTGGCTCGTCACGCCGAAGACTTGGGTTCGAATCCCCACATGGGTACAATGAGTGAAGCCCATTTCTGGTGTCCCCCATCGTGATGTTGCTGGAATATTGCTAAAAGCGGCGTAAAACCAAACTCAGTCAGTCAGTGTATCCCTAAATGTGTTTACAGACTGGAAGCCATCTTCAAGATGGCACTTCATTTCAGGGTATTATGTAGCCAATTCCAAGCTGCATAGCTGTAAACAGAACAAGGCACCAGTGCAGTGTGTGAAATAGTTTCCACATTTTGCTAGCCAGTCGGGCTAGCTATGCCTGAAAGATACTAGCCCACAAAATATGTCACTAGCACGAAATTTGAATGTAGAAACTAAGCAAAAGATTACAAAAAGATCAAATACCATCATTTATCAGGCCATAATCCTACATGATTTAAAAGTGTATCATAACTTAACACTGACTGACTGACTGAGTTTGGTTTTACGCCGCTTTTAGCAATATTCCAGCAACATCACGGCAGGGAACACTAGAAATGGGCTTCACACATTGTACCCATGTGGAGATTCGAACCCGGGTCTTCGGCGTGACGAGCCAACGCTTTAACCACTAGGCTACCCCACCGCCCCCATAACTTAACAAGTCTGAGAGAGTGGTATATTTAAAAATGATGCCATGAATAATTCACTAGCCAGTCGAGCCAGTGACTGCGGAGATTTTCTGGCCCGATTTGGTTTTTACTAGCCACAAGCTAGCAGGCCAGTGTGTTATGGGATTCATAGTCAATTGTTAACTGCATTACACAAAAAACAAGAGGCCAGTACACTATGGGATTTGTAGTCAATTGTTAACAGCATTACAGGTTTCACAAAACCAAATGTTTTTCCATAGACTTCCATAGTAATGTTATGTTCTCTTAAAAAATAACCAAGGGCTCCTTTCACAAAGCAACCTTTACTAAGGTTAACCTTAACTCCCATTCTTTAACATTGCACTAAGGTTACCTTAGTGACTTACGATCACCTTAGTGCTTTGTGAAAGGAGGCCCAGGTCGTTAATAGCCATTAAACGTATACATATGCACCGTATGGCCTTAAAGCCACAATAAAAAAAATATTTTTGGCTGGGTTAACCAATTTCTTTTCCAAGAAAAGGAATTTGAACACACCAACCCCAGTTCAAAACCAAATCTAACCTACTTGAAAGTATCTCTGCACACATTCAGCATAAGTCATTGTGTTAAAAAACACTGCACAAAGTAATATGGTCAGTTTTATTACTGGATGAATGTACTTTAAAAAAATAATTTTTTTACACAAAGTCATTCAATCACAGCTGTCAGATGATTCTGCCTGCACTGAAGGCTCTGTACGAAAGGATTTGTTATACTATGGAATCTGATTTGGTGTTGAATAACCTACAGACCAAACAAAGCACCATGGTACAAAGCGATCTTTAGCGCTACGGTCACCGTAACTCATATACTTTAACGTGGACTTACGGCAATCTTAGCGCTAAGGCTATTTTATACCTTTGCACTCAGACTATTACAGTCACTGCTGAATTGTACTAATATTTGAATAATGGCTGACCAAGGAGTGAGTGAGTGAGTATGGTTTTACCAGTGTATGAAATAAGGCACATCCAACCGCCCGAGATGGGCTATATTTCTGACAGACGGTCTAGATTTACAGCTAGCCAGCCCGATGGTCTGGTAAAAAATTAGATGTTCCACACATCTGAGTAAATTCACCATATCTTGCTTGGTGTCTGGTCTGGTTAAATCCATTTTGGGCTGGTAACAGTTTCAAATTACCAGCCCTGATGTCTGCCTGGGTTTTGGGCTTATTTCATACAATGGTTTTACGTCGCTTTTAGCAATATTCCACCAATATCACGCCAGGGACACCAGAAATGGACTTCCCACATTGTACCCATGTGGGGAATCGAACCCGGGTCTTCAGCGTGACGAGTGGACGCTTCAACCGTTAGGCTACTCCACCGGCCCTGCTGACCAAGGATGACCCAGCATTGACCAGAATGGTGCTCACACCATCAACCACTGGTTCATCAAGTGTAGGATTCAATACTGGCTGCCTTCATCACAGAGGTGAGGTGAGGTAAAAATGGGTTTTACGTCGTGCTTGAGAATATTTCGCTCATGACGACATGCATGCGTGTGTATGTGTATGTGCGGCTGCTTGTACTAGCCCAGACTTAAGCTGGTTAATAGTGCTAGCCCACTGAGATACCATGCCGCAGTGAAGCATGAATACCCCACTCAGATACATTATACTGACTCCGAGCCGACCAGTCCTTGTTGTACCCATTAATGCCGAGCGCCAGGCAGGGACCAACAAGTACCATATTTTAATAACTTTTGGTATGACGCGGTCGGGGATCGAACCCACGACCTTCCGCTCTCCGGGGAGACGCTCTAACCACTACACCACGGAGGCGGTTTCATCACAGAGGTGTGATATTGTCGACTACAGCATAGAGCAGAGTTTGCTAGCACATGGTGTTACAACGTATATACTGTTGGAAGTGACACATCATTCTAGCATGTTTGTCTTCCTCGTCCAATGTCTCCATCACACCCGATGGCAGGAATGACCAAGCCGCAATTCAACCAGAATTTCTGTACTATGTTAGATATACCAGTTTAATAATAATCATGGGATTAAATACCAGAACAGCTCTGATTATTTTCCTGATTTCACAGAACTTGTAAATATCTATGTTTGTGTCTTTCCTCCCATACAGGTGAAATGCTGTGATCTGAGAGAACTACAGTTATAATCAGTGTTAAATACGACGGAAATTTCACAAATTCCCTTTCATGTGTTACTTTTTTTCACAAACACTTCTAACATTTTTCCAACAGGACAGTACACTATACTAGTATTTAAAACACAGACTACACAACATCTCTACCACTAGACATCACACGTCCTAGATGTATTCAAACCTATTGCAACAGGCGAAAAAAATCCCCAGCATCCAACAGACTTGAAATCTCAATTTTGGCACTGGTAGCCAAACTACTGGAATAAGAAAATGACTGAAAAAAACACACCACAAAAACCTTTTTAGAAAATGTATTTATTTTTGTAAAAATTCAAAAATGACATTCCTTTTGTGCTGTACAGTAACTGCACTTCTTCCTTGATCAAGAAGACAAAAAATATATGTGGAAGTAGGATGATATGAATATTTATTTGCAATAGGAATCATTCCATCACTTCAAAACAAATTTGTTTTATTTACAGAAACACTATGAATACCACACCTTAAAGGGGATATCTATGTACTTCAAATACTGCAAGATCAAACAAGCCATTCGTAACCATGGTAACCAGTTCTTGGAACTGAGAACATGTATCAATAATCAGGAAGCATGTCATAACACATCAACAAAGGAAGAGAAACTTATTTCACAAGTACTGATTGTTCATGATGAACTAGTTACAATTCACTGATATAATAATTAAGTCCATTCAATTTCAAATCAATGTTTCAATTGTTCAGTAATCACTTAATGGAAAACAATACCAGTGTTATGACTAAAATACAGAGATTTCCTTTGTCAAAAATAGATCACAGTGAAACCCGTTATTCGACACTCTCAGGTCTAGAGACCAATTATTCTGGGCCATGATTTGGCAACACAAATGTAAATTACAATGGATGTAACTCTAAACTATGATTTCTCCATGAATTTGGAGCAACTTCAAAAGTACTGTACCAGCCAGATAACCAGTATTTCACATTAATTCTTTGATCTAGAAGTTGTCTTGTAATACTCTTCTATCTTACAGTAAAATTAAATCTGTTTCTTTGTCTGTCAATCTGATCACAAAATGTTCTCTTCCTGATCAATTATTTTTGGCAACACGTCCTGTTTTAAGAAACAGGTTATATTATCAGTAATTATATCACTTGCCAGAATAACTTCACTTTTCAACATAACTACCCTGACATGGACCATCAATAATCTTGACTTTACAACATTTGAAAGTATTTAGAAACATGACAATACACGTCAGTCATTTTTTTTAAAATTACATCCCTGCAGAAATTAAATTATCATTGAAATTTCAATGAGGTCAACCACAAAGGACTTGTATCTTTTATTCCAATTGAAGGAACAAGCACAATAAAATGCCAGAATCAAGCCAGCCATATTTGCCATTTAACGGCTACCGAGATATTTACATAAAAGGAATGGTCTTATTATCAGGTTATTCTGTCACATTTGTCTGATGCCATAAGACTGTCCAGGTCACTGACACATGGACAATAGCTAAGCTTACTATGTATGGTGAATGTCATGTAGTGAAATGACTACAGTGATTTCTTTCCCACATAACAAGCATCACATCAGCGTTGCTCCAGCTGGGTGGAAGACTTGTATTGCACAGTGGCAATATGATGCCACTTGAGTATGAGCAAGCGTCAGGTCATAATCATCATAAACACATCATCATCATCAAGAATACCCAAAGTGCTAGTTTACTAACAGCTATTAATAATGTTCAACTGGCCTTGTGTTGTTTAAGGGAACTTTTCCTTCTTGCTTCCAACACATATACTGGGAACTTCCTACACCTATTTTCAGTTTTAATATTGAAAGGTCCAAATTTGGGAGAGACTGACTTCCTCATTCTCTTCATATTTATCCTTCACAAGGCCTCAGTAGTAGTGTATGACAAAGACATGGAAACATAATATCAGGGGACATAACTCCAGAGTTTCTAACTGCATTTCAAAGCAGTTTGTTATAGGTATTAACAGTTTCAAGTTGGAATGAGTATGATAGGTGGGAATGAAATATATTTGTTTTGATTTTAATAACCACTAGATGAGTGGTGATGACAAACAGTAAAATAAAAAATGGTCTCTAAAAGATACTAAACAATACAATTTGCTGTAACAACCTGCTCTCAAAAGCATGTATCAAGCCCCAAACTCAAATAAACACCCCAGGATCTATCACTCAAAAACTAACCTCCATAAGCACCACATATTATTCACTTGACAGTTGATATTGTCTAGTGTATATTACACATTTTTATGTGAAAAATTAGTACATAGAGGTAACAAACTAATTACGAAATGGTTTCAGTTTCAGAATTTAAAAACATTTTAAATACATTTCATTGCAACCACTTGATCTCTGACAACAAATCTATCTATGTATGGCTTTAATAAACACTCCTTCGTCAATGTTCCTAGTATCCAGGGTGCTTACAACAACAATACATTAGCTACAACCGCCATGATACGGCCTGCAGTGCATCAATGTCGATGTACAAGACAAAATACGGGATGGTTTGGAGAATTAAATTCAGGTATACCTTTTATCAGGGTCTCTATGACATGTTAGCACTTACGAGTTGATATGGTCATTGAGGAATTCACAGTTTCCTCTTTCAAGAAATAAACAAAAATATGACATCATGATAATAAATTTAAAACCATGTAGTACTCTGTTACAGTTTTCTTGGTTCAGTTCTATTAGAATAGTATCAATAGTACTATTAGGTAGAAAGCCACTTTCTTCACGAAAATACAGTAAAACAGACAGTTAATATGCAGATTGACTATTTTGTAAATTTGAAGATATTCAACACAGTGAATATTTATGAATACAAATTTCAACTAAATAACTGTGGATCAAGACTTTCAAAAAGAATATTTATCTGCCAATTACTATATTTTCTCATCATTAATTTCACTTCAAAAAGAAATATTTATGCTCAGAAATAAGTAATGTTTGTGACTAACATGAAACTCTAGTATTAAGGTACATATCATCACTTTCATTCAATCCTAATATTTCATCAAAAATACAAAATCAATTATTTTTTTGGCAAAATGCATATTTAATAGAATATATCAAATCACTTGTTACATTAGTTGGGTACACAGTATCAGATATTTTTTATTTATAAACATTGTCTTCTGGATAGCCTCGTACCCACTGCATACATATCAACAAACACACCAATGTAAAAATGAATAGGCAAAATAGCAATACTGTGTAACATTCATGAGAATAAGTTACTGGCTACCAACACACTGGCAGCAACGTCTGTTTGACCTTGTAGTTTGCAAGCATGGTCAGCTCAAAGTTCAACAGAAACACAACCATCAGCATCATTTGGCCATTTCAATAAATTAAAACTTGACACACATAATTGATGCAAAAATGGTCTCAGTCATATAAACAATGCACATTCTCTAATTTGGCATCTGAGATCTCCCGTACACAGGTCAAGGCTGGCACCAATGTCTTCGTGTCTGGATGAGGAGCTTCACAGCAGGAATTATGAAAATATGATCACTCAATAAAACACTGGCACATTGGATTGTCAGGAATTTTTTATGGAACTGGGCAAGTCTCCCGTACTGAATGCCCTCCGGACTTCATATTCCCCTGATAGTTCGTCACCCATCTGCCGCAGTGCTATACCACAACTATAACAATAATTATCACCCATCACTCGTAGAAGCCGGCCCACCAGTTGATGGTGGTAGTGAGCACTATGGGGACGAGGGCCATGCATATGAGGATCGGTTGAGCTATGGTGCATATGTTGTTGTGCTGATCGGACAGGGGTTGTTGGCACTGAGAGTGTGTTATTGCTACCACTTGATACGTTGGTGTTTGGCACAGTGAACGGTGGACTAGTGTCATGCCTAGTTGCATGTGATGTGTGGGATTCACAGTCTGTGACAACATCTTCCTGTTGTGGACCCTCCTTTTGCATGTCTGTGTCCTTGGGATTAGATTTGCATCCCATTTTAATTTGATAAAACTGAAACAGAGAAAGACAATAATGATCATCATGATCATATTGAGAATTTGTATGTGAAACTAAAGTTTAAAAGGTATGTAACAAATCTTGTGAAACTCAAGCTTGGTTTGGGGGGTACTAAGTAATAATATAACATTAAATAAACACAATCGAAAATGCAACAAAAATATAGAATGTTGGTGGATCTCTGAAACCACTGATTTATGACAGCTGATCACAAATTGATGCTATGATAGATCGAGATGGAATTTCAAAATTTCTTTGGCTGAAAACAAAAATCAATTTGTCTAGACTATATTTTACATCATATGTGAAGATTTTGAATTTCCTTGTTATTTCATATCGTGACAGACTAAATGTTTGAGACTAACATCATCTGCCGGAAAATTTTAGAAAACTTCATAGGAAATTTTTCAGAACTTTCTGTTCACCTTCCATTCAAACTGATGAGCGGTCATACACAGACTATAGGCAAATATTGATATTTTATTTTAAATTATTAAACTTCCGAAAACCAAAACCAAACTTACAGCCAACCAGAAGTTGAGTTGTTTGACGAAATTTCCCAACAGCTCACAGTACTCGTTTCCTCACGCGAAATCCCTGACGTAGGTTTTGGAATAACCTCACAACCTAAAAATAGAAAAGTGTATTCCACACAACTAACATTGCATGCCACAAGTACGCGTTTCGCGTTCTGAAAAGACGTTCAAAACTACTTTTTTAGTATGCTTGTTTTTGTAGCCCGTTCTAAGCACATAGTCATAATATATGCACCATTGTTACTTTTATTGTGTAAAAATATACTAAATGAAATTATTTTAACAATAAATCAATCCATCGGATACAAGCATTCGTCAACCATATTTGTCAGATAACCCAGTTAGTAGACAATAGAGTGGAGATGGCAAAACATGTGAGACTTAATGTTATAGTAATGGACCTGTCCTGAGAGACATAATAGATTTAAATATGTGTAATGAAACTCAAATAAATAAAGACATTTGGACAGATTGCTTGATCTACAAACATACAAAAACAGTATAATACTGTTTCATTGTCTACCGTATTGAACCGCGTCATTATGAAAACACCAAAGCTATCACCTCATTTTTTTCTGGAATGTTAATTTTCCTCATTTACATGCATTTTACTAAATTGTGCATGTATAGTCAGACGATTCTGAATTTATCATTGCCATAGAAGGTTTACAGAACGTTGACTGACTGACTGACTGACTGGTTTTACGCCGCTTTTAGCAATATTCCAGCAACATCACGGCGGGGGACACCAGAAATGGGCTTCACACATTGTACCCATGTGGGGATTCGAACCCGGATTTTCGGCGTGACGAGCCAACGCTTTAACCACTAGGCTACCCCACCGCCCCACAGAACGTTGACAATCAGAGAGACACGCCTCGGGTACACCTCAACATCACCTTCTACGACAAGAATAGTGCCGGGTGATTCTAACTAAAAAGGCAATATCGACAGATACTTTCATCCAAAATTCGGTATATAAAATAAATTGTTTGGGCATATTTTTATAACGTACATGAATTAACCTTTGTAGAAATATGCTCAGTCGCGACGTTTGCATTTATTAAAAGTAGGAAAACATAATAAATATACATAAATAATATTACCTCGCACATGGATACCCCACAAGGGCACAATGTTTGAGTGCAGTGATGCTGCTGGAATATTGCTAAACACGGCCTAAAACAGAACTCTTTCACTAATATCGGAATTAGTTCTGCTGTACGTTTCAGTATGGTTACGTAATATTTGCCTTAAGTAATGACTGTAACGTTTTGTTTTATCAAACCATCACATAACAATGACTGCAAATACCTGCTGAAGTGAAATTTGCAAGTTTAGAGTGAATTTCATCTTTCTCCCAGACACTAGAGAATATATTAGAACTATTCCAAGAATAATTGGTCTTTTTCTTTTGGATTATATTCCTTCAGTAGATTTACCTTTTCAAGTAACATAGCTGTATCTGGGATTAAATGTAAATCTAGGTATGATCCAAAAGAAGCTTATGTGATATTTTGTAAATATTACGCAGAAGTTTACAAGGAGTTTGATACAGTCTGTTAGTTGTGTTACAAAGAGATAGTAATGGTTGTTTTCGCTGTTATTTATGTTTGTTTGTTTTTGTATTCAAATGATGCTCCGAAGTTTCTAGAAGTTTTGGAAACAGTTGTTTGGAAAGTAATATGTACTTAGTTTTAATCCTGATAAACGATTGGCAGATCACCAACCAATCACAACGCGATAACGTGACGTGTTGTTTAGTGACGTCATTGTTTCCCTTCATCGTCTCTCGCCATTTTGAGGCGACTGAAATAGACTAGTTTCAGACTTTGTCGGAGCCGGGAGGTTTTATAGGCCTTGTGAAATGGCTGATTCCACAGTAGAACAGACGAAGCTGGTGAACAGCAAGTCAAACTTGAACTCCAAGATGTATTCGAAGGGAAACCTTTTCGCCGAAATAACAAAGCAGATGGGATTACTTCCTGGCTCCAAAGGATTGAACGACTTCGCTTCGATAGTTGATGAACAGACACAAACAGGCAGTGGAAACTCCCCAATTGAAGAAGTACGGCGAGGTGCCGAAGTGATAGCTTCAGATGTGATTTCAAATTTCATTACCGGAGATAACAGGAAGCCTCCCAATAAATACTGCCGGACCATGAGGAGAACAGTGAAAGAGTTGTCAGACAGACACAACATTGTTTTCAAAGGGATGGTAAACAAGTTGAAGGTGGAAAAAGGAAATGCCTTCAGGACTTTCGTCAATATTGCAGATGAAATTTTTGACGATGGCCAGATAAACTGGGGCCGAATCGTAGCTGTGTATGCATTTGCTCTGAGGTTAGCTGCTCATTTTCGTGATGTTCAAGGACATGGTGACTTTCCAGATAAGATTGCTCTGTATGTTGGAAAATATGTTGCGAACAAACTTGGGAAGTGGATCCTTGATCATGGTGGATGGGTATGTTTTCATTCACATGTAATATCTGTGTGTTAACCAGCATATCACTTTCTGCAATCGCCCTGCAGTCATAAACAAGACCGGTTACACGATTCGCTACAGGCTTATTGATGCATGATGAAGTGAATTTGATCATCACACCATTCAGCAGAAGTTCGATAGGAAGATATTCCAACCCTCGAAAGATACACTTTAGTTTATCTGAAATGGTGTAACTGTATTATTTATACAAGGGGAAGTGGGACTAGTCTAGTGGTTAAAGCGGTTGGCTCGTCATGCCGAAGACCTGGGTTTGAATCCCCACATGGGTACATAGTGTGAAGCCCATTTGTGGTGTCTCCTGCCGTGATGTTGCTGCAATATTGCTTAAAGCAGCGTAAAACCAAAGTCAGTCAAGTCAAGTGTTGGGATCCAGGTTAGAACTGGTCTTGACCAACCCATGCTTGTCATAAGACTCGACTAATCATTGCTAATGTGATCGGGTGTATGCAGTGTACCAGTATGCTTGATCAGATTGTTCTGTATGAATAAATCATTTTTGACAGGGCTCCAGTGAAAGAATGCCAATAAAAAATATTTTACCCATATGTACGGTCTGAAGCAAGTACCTGGGAGGGTGTGTGTGTGTTTCGGTAGTATGGTTACCTGAGTACTCTGGTCCGTGTGATCTTTCCCAGTCCTACTTACTATCCTATTTCTAAAATGCCTTATAAATAATCTCCTATTCTCCTTTCTTTGTTTACAGGAAGCATTCGCAGAGTATTTCCCAGACCAGGGTGAATTTGAAGAAAAAATGTGGAAAGGACTGTTATTCACTGCCGTTGGCCTTGGTGCTCTTGCTACTGTCGTAGCAACAAGGTGAAGATTTTCAACACAATCAACAGAACTTTAAAGCAATCTGAAAATTGCCAAACAACAAAACTCTGTATATAGTGATAACATTTCGAGAAGTGGGATGGGATCCCCTCCCATGGATTAAAATGACATTGGAGATCTATGAACCTTTGTGTGATCATGGTGATGTTAGCAGAAAGTACCTAAAGTACAATAGCTGGTGATTCTTTTATTTTTATACACCGAAGAAGGTCTATATGTTTAAATCAGTATGAAAATGAAGTTTTCGTCAGTTGTCTGACGAATTAAAATATGGATATATATTAATTTACTTTCGATGTTTCTATAAAAGATGACTACTGTCCTGTGTCAGAAATTTAAAGTTTAGTTTTAAATTTGAATGTGGTTGTTTTTCATGTCTTCATGTGCATCTGGATGTTGAATCTCCTCGGTGTGAAAGATTAATCCATGTCTTTTATTTTTAATCTGTGACAATTTTTATTTTCGATGCCAGGAAACAAAATCTGTTTGATTGCATTGATCAGCCAAGATGTATGTTAATCCTCTTAAACTATGCAATGGAAGAATCCATGACTGTATTGAATGAACACTACTTCTGATTGTTCAGGGAAGTGTTTTCAGAAAGAGGAAGTATATTCAAATGAACAATGGAATGTTTCCCTTATTCCCCAGAAATCTGTAGCCTACAGAGACTTCCTGATTGCTATGAATTTCCATAATGATCTGTCTAATTTTATGAAAAATGTACAATGTATTTTCAAATTGTATGTTTTCTTTGGTTTGTAAATTTAGACCATGTTCATTATGTAGTTCAGTCCAAGATATGTACTTTAAGTTCTATATTGTAAGGAAAGTAGCATTTTTAAATGTTGTAAACTTAAAGGCAAATTGTCAGTGTGTGAATGTATGGACTGATATTTTTTGTATTAGTAAATCTGGCGATGCATGTGAATGGCATCTCTCAAACAGAAGATCACCATTATCACAGAATCATCATTTATTGAAAAGTCTTTCATGTGAAAAAGTGATGGATTTACTTGGGGTAGGACCTGTTTTGGTCTTGTCTGGGTATGTTGGTGCTCTTTCTGCTTGCTGTATTTTGGTGAGCAGTGTTGAGTCCCACTGGAAAACCAAGGTGTGTATTAATGCCAGAAATGAAAACACATATCTTAAATAAAGGTGTAAACACTCATGAAATGATTAAAGCGTTATAAATGCAGTATACACGATTTGACATGTTCAGCTGACGGATTGCTAACGGGTTATATACAGATTGGTCCTCTAGTGAGCTTGACTTCACCCATGTTTTGGGTGTAAAATGTAGAATTAGCTTGAAATGAATCCCAAGAAATCAAATGTAACAAATAATTATCACAGATATATAACCTGTGATGGAACATGCAGCAGACCTAGTTCTAATGGGCACCTACTCCAAACTTGTGAATCATCGATTGGAACTTGGCTTTGAAACAGTCATTTTCTTTGCCATTTTAAAAGTATATCACATCTCATTGTGATTAACCTATATCATGTATAATGTTTGTTTTTTTGTATATTTTGATTTAGTGCTTTTATTTGTGCAATAAATGTACATTTTGAAAAAGAAAAACGTCCTTGACTATTAAATTGTAACTGATTTTGAGGTAACAGGGCAAATTATGACCCCATGATTTTAAGATGAACAACTTATGAAAGCATACTTGTGAGATGAAGGCAGATCGTCTGTTGAATGTCCGGCTGGGCAGAAGAGGTGAATGGTTGTCATTGAGGCTGACAAGTGAGTGTGGTTACCACTTCATGGCAATATTTTGCAGTGTGAAAACTCAGGGTGATAGTATGTTTTTTTTAATCAGGGAACCTAATGATAATTTGAAAATTTAGAGGGGTCACATGTTTGATGTGGTACTTGGGTTATGACAGTGCCCTTTGACTATGATGCTCGATTTCAAGTACTGATTTGTATTTAACCAATTGTGAGTTCTCTTATATTTACTTGTTTTCATGTTTGTATGTATTGATGGCTTGGTTGATACTGACTTGACTAATAACGAGTTAGTTATTCAAGGATAATAGCAATATCGTATCATTGCTCATATCAGGGTTAATCAATAATAATCTGTCACAAAATCAATTTAGAACAAACCACTTGTCTGCATTGTGCTGTGAAGCAGAAAAATGTCAAACACGCATACACATACATACACATACATGCAGTGAGGGTTCATGTTCAAAATAGTAAATGTTCATGATGGGTAGCACCTGAAATAAGTCGGGCAATCATGGGTAGTAACCATACATTTAGATTAACGCTTAGTTCCCGAATGTGTATAATTTTGATAGTAACAATTGTACCACGCCTGAGTGTCGGTTCCTTTGATCTTACCCGTGGTGTATGTGCTGGAAGACAACAGTTTTGTGTTGAAGGCAGATTTCGTCTGCCATTGGCTCCTAAAAAGCCACGCCCCATGGCAAGAGGACTGAACTCAACATTGTTCAACATTGTACACAATTTATGTCAGTCAAGGTTTGCAACAAGGAAATGTAACTTCTACAGTTTTAATGGTTTCAAATGAATTCACAAGCTGAAATTGACCAACTCTTTTATTTATGAGAACAAAATGCTGTAATAAAATGAAAAAGAATTAAACGTATACATGTACTTTATATGTACTTTGAAATTGACACAATAATGAAAGTTATAGTTCCAAAAATGATTTCAGATTTAGATTAATTATTGTAGAAAACACAGTTATTATAAATAGCACTCATTTTGGCAACTAGACTGAGAATGAAACGGTCGTTAAAACTTTAAAATTTTCCCGCTTCCCATACATAATAGGCGTGGTACAAGTCAGTTAGCTCATCCAATCCTCGATCTGTGCTCGTATACACCACAGTTTTGCCGGAGTTGATTGACAGGTGGGAGGTTCGAGGTTTGAAATGATCTAACTAATACATAAACCCATTTAAATTGAAGAGGACCCCTAAGTGAGTTGGGAGAACCTGGGGAAATCTAGACTTGCTTTATTTAAGGCTTAAGCAAATTGCAGGGAGGTCTAGGCAATGTGCAAAAAATGTGGTTCAGGATCTGTGAGACCGACTACCCCATACAATACGTGGCTAGCAGAGATATCTGCATTTGAAGAAATGTTTGAGTAATAATATGTATTCCTCCCACACACATCAGGTCAGATGGCCAATTGTTCTCCAAGCATGAAGGGCAACAGTTAACCACACCTTTACAAAGTCTTTGAGCTGAGTTATATCACATATTGGGTCAGAGTTTGTTCTATTCATGCAGATTAATGGTAAGAACTAAGAATGTTAAATTAAGCAATATTATTTGCTATTTTCCCACTTTAAGTAAATTAGTGGTGAAGCTTTTATCTTCCTTTATGAGGAGAACTCAAGGCGCATTGTCCGTTATATCAACAGTTTTATCATACAGATAACCGGGTAATACAAAGCCTACATTGAGTAGGTGACATACATAGAGAATCTCACCCGAGTGTCTTTTGATATCAAATATATCACCACGAGTTGATAAAGTACCAAATATCCGAGGCTTGCCGAGGATATTTTTACTTTTATCAACAAGCGTTGATATATTTGATATCAGAAGACACGAGGGTGAGATTCTATTTATCGTCAAAAATCACTATTAGTTTTCAATGAAAAATGTACATCTCTGAAAACAGTACTGCCATTAGATTTGCAGTGCAGCGATGTCATAACATTGTGACGTCAACAAGTTCATGATGTCATAGCATTGTCAGGGCATTGTACAAAATCTACTGTCCAAACGATATCTCCTAGGAGATATTGTTCGATCTCACACAAGCGATATCTACTGTGGAACACAGTTTTGGATGATACATTGTAAACCAAAAGCCACTATGTTCTTTAATCTGATTGGTTGAAAAACGTGATCAAATGGTATTTGATTCCCAAAAATTCTCTGCGTATTAATACATACAAACATCGCTCACACCATTGTATTGTTACGTCGTCAGCTGTGATGACGTCATTAAAATCATATTGTGACGTAAAGTCCGAATGACGTCACAAATGAGCAGTTCCAGATGCTACCATGGGAGACAGCCGAAACGGCCGGCTGATGACATTTCACTGCTGTATCCGTACTCGATGTCAATGAGAGCAGACACATAAAACGTGTGTGGACCTTTCGGTTTACGTTTGTGTTTACAATGTCGATAAACATCATGTGTTGACGAATTTCCGGGTGTTATTGAGTATTTGAAGCACGGGAATATTTCATTTGAAACCTCCGGCTGACGCCGTCGGTTCCAAATGAATTCCTGTGCTTCAAATACTCAATAACACCCGGAAATTCGCCAACACATGATGTTTATCTCCTAAATATAAAGCAGGAAAAGTAAGATGAGTAATGTAGAAGTGTGCACTAGGAAGGAAATGTTTTGTGATTTTAACATCCAACGATTTTTTCTGTTGCTAACTGAAAGGAAAAGGAGGGAATTGCCAGAATGTGGGTAATTAAAATTTTCACATTCTGAAAACTGAATCTGGATTTCTGAAAATAACAGAGCCTCGCACTCTTGACCAGCTCATTTCATGAGTTGTTGGGTAACAACACATGATGTGGAGAATTTTAAACATTGGGCTATGCTGAATATTTGTTTAATATTTTTAATCATACCACTCATAACAAAGACTGACCTGATTTGGGTATACAGTCAAATCCCGATGAGTCGAATCGCTGGGGACCAAGTAATAAATTCGACTTATTGATGTATTCGAGACATAGGTATGTCTATGTGGGTAGAAAAAAAGATGATCCAGTCCGTCAATGGCGGAAAGGTGTGAGCCGCGCTGGTTTGTTAATTGGATCAGTTTACTACACCAATCAACTTCTCATTGACTGACTTCGGCTTATGTATACAAGATTGCTGTTGTTTGAATCTCATAGAACCAAATTTCCCTCGAGTCATCGTGTGTATTTATGAGACGAATTCGTGTAACCGGTATTCAAATGATGACAACTATAACAGGGAATGGTCGGGACCGACAGGTACTTCGAGTTATGCATAATATTCGAGACACTGGCTTTCGACTCATCGGGATTTGACTGTATTATTGCATTCATACAAACCTGTCCAACAGGTATCAGATGCAACTAGCACAAGTATGTAAATATGAAACACTCGCAAAAAATTCAGTCAAAGTTATGCGCTGAAAACACTAAGTTGACACTGTTGATCCCCAATACCCGTCATAGTCCCTTCACACATGACGAGGCCAGTGTCTAAAATAGGCCTCTGTATTTATCTATATCACTAATGATTAATGTCGTGGTTGGTTTTTTATTGGTTCTGCCATGAAACATGGCTGAAGTAAACAGGTTGTTGTATAACGCACAGGAATGTTGATAGTCGATTCTTGGCGACGAGCCAACTGGCCTAAACCCAAGCTGCTGTGGTACATAATCTTGTTAGACAGTCGACCTCGTACTTTGTATGTTGCTGTGACCGAGAGTGATAAAAATAGTTAATGGCCTCGGTTGTCTGAACTTAAACCTGCTCTATACTACTCAAAATATGTTAAGGAACACGCGGTTTTTATCATATAACCAAGGGCGGTGGAAGGGCCTAGAGGTTAAAGCTTTCGTTCGTCACGCCAATTGCCCGGGTTCGATTCCTCACATGGGTACAATGTGTGAAACCCATTTCTGGCGTCCAACGCCGTAATGCCAGTTTTGTTTCTGTACGTCTTGATAATGATGGAATATTGTTGAAATTGTTTGAAGCCGAACTCGTTCACTTACACGATCTATTATAAATCTGCTATAGCATGTGAACATTGCAACACTGTCTTCGAATTTTGGGTGTTCCTTTACTTGTTTTGAACAGTGTATAATACTCTATAGGAAGCATTTGATGTATGTAAAAGAAGGTTTTATTTCGATATTATACACAATGTTTATTGAGCTGTTCATGCAAAATTTATCAAAATATATCATCGACGTTCGTTCTTGATATATCGAAAATGAAAACCAGAATATTTAAGTAATATAGGAATATGCTTTATACATTAATGTGTTTTGTGCCAATTATATTGATTGTTTGGAAAACGGCGCAATGTGATCAGATCAGAACTTTGTGTATCGTGGGAGGTATACGCGAGAACAGGCATCTAATATAGAAACAGTGAAAA